GCTCAAGAACTAGACATTCGGAGGGTTAGAGGAACTCCGTTAACTTAATCAACTCTCTTTATTCAACCAAGCGATTCCTTACATCAATAGTGATAAACAGTCAAATTTTTTTTATAATTTTTCTCTTCGCTTTTTCTCCTTTACATCCCAATTTGGACGGGGAAATAAAATAACCATATTTTAATGTGAATTTTCATTTCCTTCCGTTACATTACTCCTTTCACAAAAAAAAAAAAATTACTAAACTAACGAAATGAGCTTCCATTTCTTATTGCCTCTACTACCTTATCATAACTGCATTATTCTATTTCAAATTCAATACGCTCTTTGTGAATTCGCTCTTTTGATTTCCTCGTTAATCCCCCCCCCCAATGACACAAAATTGCTCCTTAGTTCTTCTTCCCAAAGAGCATCATCCTCTGTCTCTCTCTTACGCTATTACTCATCTTCTCTTTCCTCTACAGTCTCCACTAGGGATGGAAATGAATCAAATAATTAACAAAATAGTTCGATAATTGTTCGAAAAAATATCCGGTCATATTCGATTCGGTAGTTCGTTTGCCACTAAACAAATATTTTTTAGCATTCGAGTTTACTAACGAATAGAATTTAACTCGATGTATATTCGATTCCTTTGTCTATTAAATATTCGATTAAACTTTGATCACAGCTTATTACTTGTATTATTGCACATATGATGATATATTTTTAATCAACATATCATTTCTACTTAAGTTTTATATACTGATTTTAAGACTTAAATAACCTTAAATCTTTTTTCTAATTAAAATTTTGATTTAAATATATATAGATCATATATTATAAATTATAAAGGAATAACTTTTATTTATAAATTCTAATACTATTTGAAAATCAAATTCTTTAGCGGGATAAATATACTTTGATATTCGATAAGTATTCGTGAATATTTATCAAATACTAAGTATTCGAGTTCTAATTCGAAAAACTAGATATATGAATATTAGAGTTCACATTCAAATTCGATAATTTTAAACAAATACAAATACGAACACCTTGCTATTCGATTCGATTGGAACGTATACCACCACTGGTCCTCACGAGAACCCTTTTTCTTCTTTCCATCAATTAAAAAAACCCTATTTTTTCTCGGCAAAGCCCCATCTTTCCATCAAAACACTCTACAATTCCTTAGCCCGAAGAAAACCCAGTTGCCCTTTAGAGCATGGGCAGCAAGCTCCCACCCCACTTCCTAAGGCTAAGGTGGCAGTGGGAGCTTGCTGGACTTGCTCCAGCAAGCTCCTACGAGAGCTCATTGGGCTTCCGTGGCACAAAGCCTAGGGGCTGTGCCACGGAGCTTCCAAGCGCTCCACAAATTTGTGGAGCGCTTGGGAGCTCCCAAGCTATTAAAAATTTTTTTTTACAAAAAACTCCTTGCTTTTGTACCTTTGCAATAAAAGAGTGGTTTTTTTGATAGAAGAA